CGTTGCGTAATGGGACTGAGTGTAAACAAATGTCTACGATGTTGTGTTAATGAAAAGAAGGAATAATTTTGTATCTCTATTCAAGTATCTTTTTTTAATGAGGTGTGTATTTATGATGCCGAGAATGAGATATTGAGTTTGCCCTAATTGTAGCTTTTTGATTCCAATAAAATATTTCATTAGTGAATGCTCTTGATACTTGAGCGGGATTTTTAAAAATATTGAAACATTTACCTGCAGTCTTCTACATTTTGGAATAATGTAGCCTGGGATTTACCAGCACAATTAATTGGTGCAGAATTAATAGGAATATGATTTTTATATATTGCAAAGTGGGAGAGAATCATTTTCTCTTCAATAATCTTTTCTTTTAAGGAGAGTCAATGTGCAGGTTATTCATATAACTCACCCACCACAATTTGCTGAGGTTATGCACTTTGTTGCAGCAAGACGATCTTTCATTTCACACACTGAATAAACGAGGATCAATGCATGATATTATACGATTTAAGTATCTTCGTTTGAACTGCTCAAATAGTGTCATTATCATTCCTGGAACTAATGATATTTTCGGCCGGTTTGTCGAAAGTGTGCAAGGCCCGACCCAATGAATAATCGTAAATACAGACATCCATATATGCAGAAAAGAATGCTCATCTGTCCATCTATCATATATATAGGTATACATTTATCAATCTATATATACGGTAGGTATGCATGTCTAGATTAATAGATATTAATTTAATTATGTGTATATGCATGTCCGTATAATCGGCCGGTTTGTTAAAATTACGCCAGGCCCAATGAATACTCGTATAAACAGACATACATCTACACAGGAATAAATGCATATCTATCGATCTATCAAATAAACATACATTTATTTTTCTATCTGCACGGTAGATATGCATGTCTAGACTGATAGGAATGCATTTACTTCTGTGTATCCGCATGTGTGTGTAATGAAAGTCTTTTAGGTCGGGCCTGGTACAATTTTAATAAACCGACCGAATTAATGATCTTTGGGTCGGGCCTCGTACAATTTTAACAAACCGGCCGTAGGTCAGTATTAGAACTGCTATCAATTTTGCATCTTTATTTATCATAATCAGTCTTGACTTAGTGTGTATTATCAAATTGCCACTCTTTTTGCTAGCTCCATCCGCTGCGTTATCATAAAACGGAATAATAAACATATCTTAAAAGCAAGTAAAGACTTGGTTGAATTATGAATTTAAGTTCGTACATTTAGTATCATAGACAAACGATACCATGCACACTACTGATAGGTAATGATGATAAAGTCTCTCAGTAAAGTCAAAATGAAGTCAATTATCTTTAACCAGCTTATCAAATCCTTTGTGTATGCAGCCTCGTTGCATAACAATCGAAGTCAAGTGACAGACTTGGAGAGGGCGGTGTTATCTGCGCAGAGGACACGTGACCCGCCAAATACGAGTAAGTGCAAGGACCTATTGTCCTCTCGAAGGAAAGCTCACAATCTTGAGGCCTGGGAACTCGGATGGACGTGCAGGCAAGCATGGATTCTTATTTCTGTAAGGACGTGTCGCCCGCTTCGTACATCTTCATATTGCATTTGCTTTTTTTTCTTTTTTTTTTTTTTTTTTTTTTTTTTTGTAATCTCGTATTATTGGTATATTCATTGTAGCCCTTGTATCACTATACCCCCGTTATTTTAATAAACAATATCGTTAAACAATTGTTTCAACAACTTTTTTGTGCTTTAATGTATTTCATGTTCATGTCTATTCCTCATTCGTTACTGAAAAAGTGAAAACCACGATAAACAGCATATGTAAATTCTGTCGCATAGAAAGTTGCCTTTCGGAATATATTCCGTGTACGGTATCTTGCCAAAAAAGATATATAAACCCACTTTTATTTGCCATTCATTTTGCTTGCCTTATCAATCAGGAATGTTCGGCGTACAGTGTCTCCTTTAGTGTTATTTTGTTTTTGAATTTTAGTCAACCTACGTTCTTCTGGTAAATCTTATTTGTTTGTCGTTTGGGTGCGTTTTGTTTATTTTATTTAAGCAATTCTTCGAAGATGTTAAGCTGCACTTTGGTGTAGGATGATTGGGGTGTTAAAAGAGGGTGCTGCATATACGACTGAGTGAGTTTAGAATGGCATTCATAAAAGAAAAAAAATATAGGACTTCTGGCGTATAAACCTAGATATATTGACCAAGATTCCCCATGATTAATTATAGACTGTTGTAGATATGCTGTCATTTACTTTCTCTATATAACATATATTTTGCAGTGATGTATATTCTTTTGCATATACCTTTCATCATCTTTATTTGTATATATTTTCCACACAACAGACGGGCTGGATACATACGATGCTTTTGTTTTCGATTTATATAAAAATGATAGGTCTGAACCCCATCATAACTGAAAATAGTTCTGGATTTTTTTGGATATTAGATATTGGTTAGACATCGAAGTGTATCAGTAATGACAGTTGTACTTTGTTACTTAATACCTTCTATATTAAGCTATTTATTTTGATTGATCCATGTGGCCATCTTAGTTCCTTGGTAATTCTAGTTATGATTATCATTGTATATGTCATTATTTTCTTGGGTCTTCTTCAAAGTCACCACAATGTGTATCATTATACTGTAATTTCATCCATAACTTGTCAATATCACGTGTTTGTATAGCCAACATCAAGGCTAAATATAAAATAGTTTTCCAAATATAAATACAAAGAAAACGGAAGTATGTGTATGGGAGACTTATTTGTAGTGTCTTTTGGAACAAATGAGATCAGTAAGGATGTATTCTGACTTGCTCATAAAAGTAAACAAAACAAAACCGTATGTGTGCGTGTGCGTCTATTAAATATATACACTATTAAATACTTCAACCAAAATATGTAGAACTAAGGAACTTCCCTAATATTTACTTGTACTTAATGTTTAATGGATGACATATTTCTTTTGAAATAAAAAGATACGCCTTTTATGAAATATTAATAGATATTCAGATCATGTGCAGAATCATCCCCCAACAATGCTGGGTGTTTTTAGGGTGGGGGGGTCTATTTTATCCTAGGATTTTATCTGCAGAGTAGATAATGATTTTTTTTTCCAGGAAGTGTATGCAAGATATCTTCAGGTTCAAACAGTTCATCTAAGTGGAACAGGGACAGTTGTTCGAAAAACGGAAGAGCCTTAGATTTCAAGTCGATTCACGGGCCCCTAAAAGAATCAGATGGAAGCTGCGGATTCCCTTTCCCAGAAATATTCACATAAATGCAACTTTGTATATAATGTGTGCTTTATATACTGAGATTTGAATGTCTTATATATGAGATTTCATTATTTACTATTTACCGATTTTTTTTCTGCCACGTCAAAATCTAAGGTCATTATCGGTGTATTCAAAATATAGCGATAGGATGACTTAGGGGAAGATATTTGGCTCAAGGGACGATGTTTATGGATTCCCAGAATGACTAATGGTCAAAACAAATGTGCCAGACATCACAGGTCATACAGCACTATGACAATTTGCTAAAATTGTGCCAGGCCCGACCTAATGGTTAATGGTTAAGATAAATGTGCTAGACATCTAAGGTCATATAGCACTATAGGAAAGTATAGTAAAGGGGATGTCAGGTGATAGTTATGTGTCAACTATCTAGAATAGTGTTGAGAGGTTGAAGATGAGGGAAAAGATTATGGTGGTTTAGGTAAGGGAGTTAGATCAAGTGAAGGATATTTATGTGTCTGAGGAAGGAGAACAGGTTGTCGAGGCAGAAGCTGTGAGATTCTGTAAGGATGTCTGATATGTTGGGAGGTCGGTGAAGGGAAGTCTCTTGGAGGCAGATAATAGATGGATTATAAGAAGCAAGGATATGACGTAGGTCTGATCTATGAGAGCGGAAACCGCGAATATTCCAATGTAGGAGAGCTATATCCTAGTGGATTTACGAATGATAACACATGTACGTGTTGGGGAATTTGAAGGGGAAGGAGCTAGGGGGTGTAAAGGAGGGATATTAGGAGGTAGGGAATCTGGAGAAGGGCATTGTTGTGCCATGAGTGATTCTTGTGTGTATCCGGGAGGGAGTGCAAAGGATAGAGGGGATGGAGGGAGGGAGAATGTGCCTATAGTTGGGGTTGAAGGGGGTGGGTTGTGTTGGGAGGGAGTAGATGTGTGGGGAGTATTAGTGTTAGGAGGATGAATATCGGAAGGATGGATAGTTGGAGTTGAAGGGGATGTGTTGTCTTGGGAGGGATTAGGAGGAAGGGGTGTAGGGGTGCTGTGAGTAAGAAGGGGATGCATATCAGGAGGATGGGTATTGGGAGGATGGATATCAGTAGTGGATGGGATTGAGGGGGTTAGGTTGTGTTGAGAGGGAGTAGGAGGAAGGGGTGTAGGGGGAATATTAGTAGGAGGGTATGAATATCGGCAACCACTTCAAGTGTGGAAGGAGCATGAGTTATGGGATCTTGTGTCTCAAGCGTATAGCTTTGAATGTCATCCATTGTTTCTGCAGTGGAGTTTGTTGGAGAGTTTTGTGAGAAGGTAATTGTTTCTGCAATGGAATTGGTTGGAGAGTTTTGTGGAATAAAGGTTTTCTTATGAGGGGGGGGGAGGGAGGAGACTGGTATCTCAGGAACAAAGGTATAGGTAGGTGGAGGTGATTGTGCTGTAGGGGAAGAAGGGTTAGAACGTTTAGTCTGTCTACTGCGGGTAGTGCGGGGAGGGAGAGGGGTTGGTGTTGGGGCTGTAGTTGAGATTGGGGTGTCTGGGTTTAGAGTGGCAAAGGAATTGGTCTGAGGGATGTAGAATGTAGAAGTGGAAATGGGGACATTTTGGGTGGAGGGGGAAGGGCTGAGCGAACGATGTTGCTAGAATATGGAGTATGAGAGAAACCTTGTCGACGTGCTTCCTGTCTGGCTTCACGTAAAGTGAGACCATTTTTGTATCTGAGAGTTGCTACCTCAGATTCAAACTTGT